ATGAGGGCCCTGCATCCAGGGTCAACCAACACATTACACTTACCACCACACTCAGCTTGGTACTTAAAAAAAACACAATCCCATTGTATAGTACTATTATGAGCTATTCATAAGGAAAACCTGATGTGCATGGAGCATTTGCAACTTTGCTCTGTACCTGGTCAGTCCAAGTGAAGGCAAGATGATAACCATAAATACCAGAAAGAAATAACACTTGTGCATTGTGAGCTGATTTTCATTTGACCTAAAACAAACAAAAATGCATTTATTTGGGAGGTAGGGAGAGAGCAGCAATGAAAAGAAACCAGACAAATATGGGAGAGAATTCTGCAGGAGAGAATTTAAAACATTACATCATCAATAAAATGTTCCAAAACCCTTTCACTAGAAAATTGATGATAATATACATAATTAACCCATGTGCCCATATTTCTTTGCAAAGTTAATTTTGGTTAAACAATTTTTATTTTTTGTTCCAGAAAAAGGAGACAACAGGTTTTTTTGGCCAGAGGGAAGATTGAGACCCAGAAAGAAAGTAAATGTGTCAGTGCCTGAATAATGAAAGACTTATCTAGAATGTTTCCAAATACAGGTGCAATGAAAATGTGACAAAAAACCCCAAAACAAAACAATAAATACCTGGTTCTTCTGTATCCCCTGAACATTTATCAGTTTGTTTGTTTTTTACCCATTGCCATGGCAAGGTAGATTCCTAGAGAAACTCTGAAAACATAGCAATGTGGGGGAATTGGGCAGCGATATAAATTTGATATATAAATAAAATAAATAAATGTGATAAAAGAAAATTGGAATTACCTTGTCCAATGTGACTCCAAGAAAGCTGAGTAGTACACGATGAAAGGCAGAAACACAGAAAAAGCCCAGAGCAGCAGTGTGGGGAAGAACTGGGTCACAATAGGGTTCTAGAAGGTGAGAGAGAAAGGGGGTAAGCCAAGAATTTTCCAAAAACAGTAGCTTTTTCTCCATACAACTTCCGAGAAACAGAACTGAAGACTTGTTCTTTCTTTTGCTTGGTAGCTCACCCTAGGCTTCTTTTCTTCCTCTCTCTGTTTCTAATTCTGTGTTGGGAATTATAACTAGCAAGGTTTGATTTGCTGGAACATTTTGAACTGGAATACGTTCTGATGGAGTTAGGCTACTTGTCACAGACCCTAATGTGGCTAGAGAAAAATGTCAGTTTGCCCCAGAACATTTTGTTTGCACTGGAAAATTTTCTGATCAATAACATCTGTCTTGAACATATCCATTTGCTATGGATTATGTGAAAAAAATTATATTCTGAATAGATAAACTTGTGTAATACAGTATTTGCAATTGATATCTACTTCTTATTGAAGAACTTAGAAAATGAGGTTTCTTTCCAAAGAAAAATTAACCATTGAAAAATTCCAGTGTTTATTTTAAAACATTTCCTAGAATTCATTACTGTGCATAACTGTGACATAGTAAAGGCAAATTCAGAGGCAAAGGATGAGAATTAGATTTGTGCCAAGTGGTTTCTGCCACAGCTCTTTCTCTTTCTTTCTACACAGGAGAGGATCACTTATACCCATTCAGTGTTAAGGCATTTTGCTAATACAAACTGAAGATACAGCCTACTTTGAAGATCAAGCAGGGAGTTTCTAAATCAGGGTGAATAATCTTTCTGGCTCTAATGGCCATATCAGCTGTTCAGATAGAGAGGTAGGGTGCACCTGTGTGCGCACACACATATTTACACTGCACACACACCTCTGCAGGGGCCTGGTTGGTGGAAAGGGAGAAGGCAAGTTTTCCTCTTTTCTAGCAGTCTTGAGTAGAGCTGTAGGGAAGGAAAAGTCATGAGATCTTTCTCCATCCTAGCCATCCCGCTAGGTAGTCCACCAGTTTCCTGCTCTGCACAGGACTGCTGGGTGAGAGGCAGAATCCTAGTCCTTGAGAAGGTAGGCAGGACGAAAAGGGAAGTCATGGGCCTTTTTCCTTCCTCCCAGTGAACTCACTGGCAATTGCCATTTTCCTATTCCCACAAGCAACACTGGAACTGGCAGCACCAATCTGGTCCTCACCTGCCAACTGATCAGGATGTTCAGCTATTGTGGGAAAAGGATGACCTGCTCTATGACTACATGTTTTGCACCTAAGAGTTCCCTGGTTCCTCATTTGGTGATTAGGTTATTTCCAACTCTCTACCTTTTTGAACTTGACTGATGACTCATCTGTCCTGTATACTGCTGGTGAGCTCTCAGACAGTGGTGTCCACCCAGGCAGCATTTCATTCTCAAAAAGTCTGGGTATCATTGTCTGCCCTGTGTGTAGGCAAGTACAATTACTTGGAGTGTGGAGTGAGAATAAGCATGGAATGGAAAGACCCAAAAGGTTGGGAGTGAGATGTTATCCTCCCTGAAATAAGGCTTCAGGGTCAATAAGATACAACATAACAGAAGAACATAACATATGAAGTGCTGTGCACCTTGAGGCTCTCCACAGGTCGGGTAACGTTGAACATGTCCATGGTGTTCACAATGATGGCAGGTGTAGTAAGGAAGAAGAGGAGGATAAAGAGGCAGATGTTGAGCAGGATAAATCGCACCCACCACAAAGCACCACCAACAGATAAATTCTCCCTGTGAGAAAGAAAGCGAGGGTTGGAGGTTGCGTGTAACAAAGACAAGGAAGCAGGGTCCAACACCAACATATTAGGGCTTGTCTCAAGATAAAGCTTCTCCTCTTGTCCTTTTAGGACTTGTATATACGTAGATCACAACACACAGCTAAAAACTATAAATTGTGCACAGGAAAATTTATAATCTCTCACAAAACATTAGGACTCGATGAATTCTGCTGAACTCAGCACTTACTGATTCTCTTTTTAAAATAGCCTGAGGGCAAAATTTGTTTATATAATTCTTTTACTGTGCATCGCCCACCACTGGGACAATTTGTGGACATTAATAATACAACAAAGTAACAATCAAAGTCAAATTAAAATCCACACAAAAATTATGGCCATCATAATATTGTCTAAAATCTAAAACTACTTTATCGAACTATAAATAGAAAAAAAGCAATAACTACAATGAAAAATACAAGGTTTGGGTGGTTAAAACCCTGCAGACATGATTACTGTGTGATGGGGAATGCTAATGAATAAAAAATGTTTTAAGATTCTTTTTAAAACACAATAAAGAGGAAGACGGACTGATTGGATGAGGGAAATCCAGAGTGTTGATGCCACCCATGAAAAGGTTGATTAGTTGATTAATGGGCATCTTTCTGGAGTGGTACTGTAGAAGGTTCTTGTTTGCAGAGCTCCTGGGAAACAATATAAAAACTTGATTGCCTGCAGATGGTTCATTACCCAACTAGGTAACATTCCCAGTGCACTAATGATGTGGTAATGAAATGTCCGCAAGCAAACAACCAAGCTCAGGGAGCAC